TGCAGCCCACACTTCCCTCTGGTATGAGCCCCTTTGGGTGGACTGAGGGAGGGATGATGGCAAGAAAGAAGTGAACGGTGGAGCTGGGTCCCCCTGCCAGGTCAGGTTGGCACTCTATAGGACAGTGTGGAATGGACTGTCCTGGGGACAGGCTGAGGACTAGGAAAGGCAGTAGGGTCAGTGACAAAGCTTTCTCACTGACAAAGCTGCCTAGGCTCTTCCTGCCCAGGGCCTGAATGGCCAGAGCAGGAGAAGGCGGAGCAGCTGGCCAGAGGTGCAGCGCTCAAGTGGGCCTCAGGCATCTTCTACCGGCCAGAGCAACTGGCCCGGCTGGGCCAGTACCGCAGCCGTGAGGCGCAGCGTACCTGCTTCCTGGAAGCACGTATCAAGGTGGGCCTGGGAAGGGGACAGCAGTGCTGGGGTAGGCTTCAAGGCTGGCCAGGCCTCATTGGCTACATCTCTCCGCAGTCAGTGGTGCAGTCATACCTGGAAGGTGTGCAAACTGGTGTGTGGCAGCTGTCCCAGGCTCTTGCGGCTGTGCAGGGAGCCCATGAGGCCTTGAGCCAGGCCCATGGGTTGATCCAGAGCATGGCTCAGGCCTCAAAGTCCCTAGAGGCCCTGCAGGAGCGGGTTGCCCAACACAAGCAACTGCAGGCCCTGTCTCAGTTGCTGCCCCGGCTGCAGGCAGGTGAGTCTGCAGAACCCCAGGCCTCAGCTTTCAACAGTCAGTCTATAAACATACATCACTGATCAAGGGGCTGGGGCACTGGTAGGGGCTTGATGGAGAGACACAAAGGGCCCTAGAAGCATATGAAGCAGAATGCAAAATCAACTTAGCCTGGGATTCTCAAGTATGGGATGTTTGAATCAGGATGGACTCCTGTCATATTGTTCTGGCCATCCTGGTCATTAATATGTTGAATGGATTGGAGGAAGCCAATGTGGTGGCACAGATGTGATCTCAGCACTCCAGAGGCTCAGGTAGGAGGATCACCTAGAATTCAAGACCAGCCTGGGCTCCATAGTGAGTCCAAAGCCAACCTGAACTACATAGTGAGACCTTGTCTCAAACAAAACAAAACAAAACAAAACAAAACAAAATAATAAAATAAAAAAGGCTGGGGATATAACTCAGTGACAGAGCCAGTGCTTAGCATATTTCTCCACAGAGTGGGAGAATGTCCACTAGCATAGACCCTGTTTTTTTTTTTTTTCTGCCTTCTGTCCAGTATCTTTGAGTTTCTTATGCTCTATTAGCTCAATGATTTCCATCTGGCTTACCAAGCCTTTGGTAAAAGATTCAGAGCTTTGCCTGAATCTTTTCAGACTGGCCAATTCTCTACTCTTATGGTTGCTACATGTTTTATACATCACCCAGTCTCAGGGCCTCAGTATCCCTTGCTGTACCCATTACACAGGTGGGAAGGCTGAGACCCAAGGTTGTCTCCTTTCCTTCATTAGTGCCTGCTTCAGTGACCCACACAAAGATGCTGATCGATACCCAGCAACTCTTGGAGGCATACGCGAGCCTGCGGGAGCTGGAGCAGCTACAAGAGGAGGCATGGGTATCCTTGGGGGGCCTGGAGTTGCCAGTCTTCCAGGGGCTGGGCCTTCTGGCTGAGGCATTGGGCCATGCTGTGGAGGCAGCTGCAGGGGCTGCAGGACAGCTGGCACGGACAAATCCATCCCTGCTGGTGGCTGCTATTCGGGTAGCAGAGATGGAGGCTAGGCGTCCAACTCCACTGGGACAGGTCCCCCGAGACTGGCAGCAGCGCTGTCTGCAGGGACTACAAGCAGGCCTGGAGCAGGTCCACTTTGGAACAACTGTGCTGCCTGAGCCAGGGGCCCTAGGAGAGTGGCTGCAGGCTCTGCAGGTGGCCCTGCCGGCTGAGTTGGCCACAGCTGAGGCACTAGTAGCACCTTGTTGCCCACCACATTACAACGTGGTCCAGCTGTGGTCCCACACCCTGCACAGTGGCCTGCGCCGCAGCCTGCAGCAACTCCTCGAAGGACCTGAGCTGGAAGCTGCTGATGCCTTTGCCTTGCTGCATTGGGTGCTACATGTGTACCTGGGGTCAGTGTCCTGGGGACAGTGAAAAGTGGGAGGATTGGAGGCTGGGGGCTCAGTGTGATGCTTGGCCACCTATCTACAGGCAGGAAATGATGGGAAGCCTGGAGTTGGGGCCTGAGGCTGATGTGTCCCAGCTGGAGCCCCTCTTGACCTCGGGGAACATTGAGAAGCTGGAGGCAACATTTGTAGTCAAAGTCCAGGTGAGTAGTTGGGACACAGAGACATGCTTTGCCCATTGGCTGTGGCATTTATCTGTAGAATCCTACCTGTCTTTGGTAGGCTCACTGCCATCCTATCTCCCATCCACTGTCCCTTGCTTCTTGTCCCAGGCAAATGTGGCCCAGTGGCTACAGAAGGCACTGGACGGGGAGGTAGCTGAGTGGGGCCGGGAGCAGGAGCCCAACACAGACCCCTCTGGCTTCTACTACTCACCAATGCCGGCCATCGTACTGCAGGTGGGTGGGAAAGTGATCAGGCAGGTGGGCAGCCCCCATAGGAAAGGGGGAAGAGGGCAGAATATAGGGGCTTTGCTGATGGCTGCCTGTCCCTGCCTGTAGATCCTGCGCGAGAACATTGATCTGGCCAGCATGGTCAGTGAATCACTGCAGCATCGGGTTCATGGCATGGCACTGTCAGAACTGGGCACATTCCTAAGGAGGTCTGGCAAGCATGCACCCACTCCCAACCTCAGCCCCACTCCCAGGGCAGCCCAAAAGGCCTTTGAATGGGTAGGGCACACCAATGTGAAAATACGCTTCCAAACAAGTACCTGGAAATGGGATGGGAGTATGGGGACTGGGCCTACAGAGGTATCAAAGTAGCAACAAATCCAGGAGCCGCTCTGCCCATTGTAGCTTCAGCGATGCTCTGATGCAATTCTCCCAAGACCACCTCAGTGGGGAAGCCCCAGCCCCTCACTATGTGTCCTACCTACTGGCTGCCCTCAACTACCAATCAGCACTAAGGTACTAGAAGCCCCCAGCCCTAGCAAAAGCTACCTCCACTAACTCCTACTTCCTTCTTACTATATATGGTTCCACCCACACTAGGCAGCTAGGAACTCTGGGCCCGCATAGCTCAGGGGTTCTAATCCTACTTCTGGTAATTACTAGATGCATGTCTTGGGGGGAGTTTCCTATGAGTCTCACTTTTCTCAGTATTATGTGGGTAATAATGGATTGCTCTGTGAATCACATAAAATAAACGGATATGAGGTGCACACAGTGGCAATTACTCGTCCTGTCAGCAAATATTTAGCATGTCTGAGGTTACTATTGTGAACAAAACAAAAACTTTCCTTCCTCTTGGGTGCTATGCTGTTTGTAGTGAAGACAGGAAGGACAGAGAGATTGATTTTTACTCCTCTTATGGATAAGGAAATAGAAACCGAAAGAATGATTTGCTCGTGGTCACACCGTGAACCCGAGGCAGGTTCCACCTGGCTGTGTCTCTCTGGTAGCTGCTGAATACATCCCTCCTAGCCTTGACAGATCCTTTAGGCCTCAGAATTGTAGGATACTGCCTTTCCCACCCGCTCCCGCCACACACTGGCGCCACCAGGTGGCACCCTAGTGGCTGAACCCACGAAGAACCGTGCAGGCCTTGGCCTTGGTCCTGAAGTCGTATTTTTGGTCGGTCCAGAGCCTCACTGCCCGTCCTGCACCTCGACGGAGTGGCTCCCGGGGTCTTGGCTGCGGTAGAAGCAGGGCTGGACGAGTTGCAGGGGAAGATCTGCCGCCTGGTGTTGGAGGCTCTGCAGGTGGTGCTCCGGGTGAGGCTTCCTTCCCGTCGAAATGTGGGTGGGAGGCGGTGAGACGGTGTAAGTAAAGGGGTCTGCGCGTGATCATTTCTCTAGCCCGGTCTCTGGCCCACCCTTCTTCCCCAGCCCCTGTTCGCTGCTCTGCCCTCGCCCCAGTGGCTGTCAGGCTCTGAGTTGCTGGACGGTGTGTGCGAGCAGATGTGCAACTTCTGTCGGGACTTCAGGCACGTTCGGAACCCTGTAGTTCAGGTGCGCTGGTCGGAAAGGCTGGGTAAGGGAAGTGCGGATGGAAAAGGCGATCTCAGGGGGCTGGGGATTTAGCTCAGTGGCAAAAGCGCCTGCCTGGCAAGCGCAAGGTCGTGAGTTCGGTTCCCGGTACCGGAGAAAAACAAAACAAAAAAAAAAACAAAAAAAAAAAAGAAAAGGCGATCTCGACCCATCTCATCACATTCCCTGCAGGTGCTGCTGGCCGAGGCAGAGCGCACAGTGGTGGTGCAGTATCTACACGCACTGATGCAGGGCCGCCTCGTGTGCCGCAGCGCGGACGAGCGGACGCAGGTGGCCCAGTGCCTGCAGCATGATGCCGCCCAGTTTAAAGAGCTTTTCCTCAGTTTGGTGAGCCCTTGTTGGGCGGGCAAACGGGAGAATCTCTGTAGTGGGTGGGATCGAAGGGCCGCCTAAAAACTCACCCCAACGTCCCCCAGGGCCTGGAGGAGACAGCGCATTGCACGCCGGTGCTGCTCGCAGTGAGGGAACTGCTGACCCTCTGCGACCTCACGCTGCTTGGTGTGGAGGTGGCAGGCCTGCAGCAACAATTTCCCGACGTGAGGTGCTGGGGGCCGTGACGGAGAGGGGAGAGGAGCCTGGGAGGGAAAGGGCAGGGCTGACCACCGCGGTGGTGTCCCCGCAGCGAGGACCACGTCTCCGCCCTCTTGGACCTGCGCGGGGACGTGTCCCGAGAGCAGCGCCAGGCGGCACTCAGCTCGCTGGGGACCGGCCCACCGCCCTCGCGCCCCGCGGGCCGCCGCGCACTCTTCAGCCTCGTGCCGGCTCCTACGCCTTCGATCTCCACTTGCCTCTCAGGGCTCTGCTCCTGACGCCCGCCTGCGTGGAATAAAGCCAGCACCGCCCCCCGCCCCGTTCGCCTGAATATCTGTGTTGGAGGTGGGTTGGGAGGGATGAAATAAAAGTGCTGGTGGAGGTTAGTGAGTTTCAAGTGCAGTGATACGCCCAAGGTACCCTCGCCGCAGTCGGCTTTACGTGCAGCGCTGCACCTCTCCAAACATGGGCCCTTTGCGTGGACTGCGGTCCGCAGGACCCACGCGCACGCAGGGGAGGGCCTCTAGTATTCACTCCTCGGCCCTGAGGCGGTGTCTCCGCCACAAGGGGACCTCCGCGGAGTAGCTGGGGAAGCCGGGAAACGCGTGAAGAGGCGGGCCTAAAGCAACACCCCCGCCCGGGGGCGCCGCGAGCCGCCAAACGCTACCCGGCCCGGCCCACGGTGGTCTTCGGTGCACGCCGCTGCGGAGACTGACGTGAGTACGCGCGCCTTCTTTTGAGCGTGCGCGCGCCCGAGCGTGTGCGACCTCTGCGTCTGCTCTCGCGGGCTAGGCGGAGGGCGACCGGCTTTGCAGAACGGGAACCGCGGGCAGCAAGAAGAGAAGCGAACAGGTGGGGGCGCGGCGCGCGGACCTAACTCCCCACTCGTACTGCAAAAACCCAGACGAGACTCGAGACTCGACCTTTCTTGATCTGCAGGAAACCCTTTACTCCATTGTCTTCTGGCCCCGCCCTCCATTGGGCACGTTCTTTGCTATCCTTTGCCGCTTATTGGCTGCGGGTCACGCCCCTCGTGGATCTCTCGACCCCTATTGGCTCTTCTTCTACGTTAACCTCTCCTAGGGGTTTCTTATTGGTGCAGGCCACACCCTCTTATTTGTCACCAGACCCCGCCTTCTGTAGTCCCGGCTCCTCCCCCGCCCAGTATTCATTCATTCTGCATCAATTGCTGGGTGCTTGGGATATGAGGGTGAGTCAAACCCGTCCCTTCCCTAGAGGATGGTGGAGAAATATGGATTTAGGCTCCAACGGTGATAACCTAGGGAGGTAAAAATATATATATACCATCGAGGAACTGGGGTGGGGTACCCCGGAGGAGGTGAAACCTAAACTCAGCCCTGAAAGATGGTTAAGCATTTACTCCAGGGAGACATTGTGAGGGCATTCTTGGCGGAAGGAGCAGAGACTTGAAAGAAATAGGCGTGTTCTGGGAACTGAGAGGAGGTAGTTCAAATGAAAGAAGGGGAAATGGAAGGGCCTGGCCCAGGTGGCTTGAAGACAAATGAAGAGTCCAGGAAAGTGTACGTTTAGTTGAGGGGAACGAGGCTTGAGACCTGAAATCTTTTTAAAGTAGCTGGTCACTAGGTAAGGTCGAGGCAAGGGTGAAGATCAGGCCTAGATGGAGAAGCAAGGTGCTGGGTAAGAAAGTCTAGTTCTGAGAAGAAGGGCTCTTGAGTTTATTTATTGAGCAGCTGCTGTGGGTCAGGTTCCGTTCTGAGTTCTAGGGACACAACTGTGAATACTAGAAATGAGAAAACAGATAACAAATATGTGAACATAAAGTTTACTGCAGTATATTTGAGGTAATGACAACTGCTACGGGGAACAATAATTCTGGGGGTGGGAGTTGTGGAGAGGGGTGCTACAGTGGCTTTTCTAGTAACATGGTTTTTGTACAGATATTTGAGGAAAGTGACCATGCCTTATAAGAGGGGAAAACTTTCTAGATAATATATTCAGTTTGAGATACCTCTCAAAGAAAAAAAAAATTAAAAAAATTTTAAAAAGAGAGATACCTCTCAAAGGATCTCAAGGAGAATCTAAGGTTTTATTTTTTAAGACGAGAAATAACAGCATGTATACATCCAGTGGGTAAGAAAAAGGTTGATGATGTAGGAAAAAGGAGAGATGCCAAAATTGAGTTTCTGAGCAGGCAAGGGAGCTTTGAGCCTGGGGCTGCCAGTCTTTAGGAGGAGATTGGATAGGACTGAACCCTGGTACAGAGTCAGGAGTAAGTGCCCTGACACTGGCCTGGGACAACCGCTGGAGAGATGCCTCAGACAGGAGACAGGCTAGAGATTGGCTTGGCTTTGCAAGTTTCCCTCTTCTTTCCAAAAGCAGATTCTAACTTGGATTTGAACAGATGGCCCAGAGGAGAGAGGGCATTTCAGGTGGGAGCTGGTGTAAGCAAGAAGCGCACAAGCGTTTCAACTGACTGAGGCCAAATGGGCAGTGGGATGTGGGTAGAGGCAGGTGGGACAAGTGGTGTGGGACTGAGGAGATGCCATCTGTAGAAAGCAGCCCCTGGAGGCCCCTCACGTACATTGAGCTAGCTGAGTCTGCACTCTGCCAGCTCTCACACTGGGTAAGTGCTGAGCACAGAGCTTAGAACCATGAGTAGCGCCTCAGCCCTCCACAGCTCACAGACTAAGGGCATTCCAGTAAGCCATGTAGATAGGTGTATAAAACTAGCCTTATTTCTGGATATGGTTGCTCGTGCCTCTAATCCCAGCACTTGGGAGGCTGAGGCTGAGGATTGCTGTGAGTTCAAGGCCAGCCTGGGCTACATAATGAGTTCAAGGCCATGCTGAACTAAAAAGCAAGACCCTATCTCAAAAAAACCAAACCAAACCAAACAAACAAAAAACCCAAGACAAAAAATAACTTCTCCCTTTTGCTTTGCTCAGCCCAGGCTGTGTGACGGAGTCTGCTGGAAGGAATGGACTCTGTGGTGGGGGTGGGGCACAGCAGACCCTCATCCTCCGAGTGTCCAGAAGGGTTCACGTGGAGCACAGGGTCTGCTGCTCCTCTGACTGCCCCACTCATGCTGGTCTCCACATGTCTTTCTGTGTCCTCAGGGGTTGACAGTGTGCGAACTTGGAGCAACCGGCTGGATGTGAGCCCCGGGACAGAATGGTGCTGGACTCAGGGGCTCAGGTGTATGAGCGGGCACCTCCTACCCCTCCTGCCAGTCCCCTGTCCTTGCACCGTAGGCTGAAGCCCTCAGACCGAGATGGGCCACGGCTGTACCCCTGGCCTCAGTCCCTGGCTGTGCCCCTGGCTCTGGAAGTCCCCTCAGTGCTGCAACTCCAGCCTGAACAGCGGCCTTTCTCAAAGCTGCACTTGGGCCACCGTGGCCATATGCGTCGTAGTGAGAGCACCTACTCTGTAAATAATCCTGGTCAGCGGGGGCGTGGCAGCCAGGGGCGTGCCCCACCTGGACGGGGACGGGACCCAGGTGGTGGCACCTTGCGGTCTGCAGCTTCCCTGCCTCACATTGCTAAGACTCGAAGGAATGTAGGCAATGGAATTGGCAAGAGCCCCTGTATGTTGGTGGCCCTGAGGCCAACCAACATGGACTGTGAACGGGAAAAGTTCTTCCAGTCCCATTATACCTACAATCCACAGTTTGAGTACCAGGAGCCCATGCCTACAACTGTGCTGGAGAAGTACTGTGAGGCCTCTGGACAGTTCATCCATCAGGTGAATGCAGCCTGACCACCTCACCCTGACCCTGACCTCCCAAGGGATCCAGGCTGACCCAGGTTCTATGGCTCTGTGTACAGGCAGTTGGCATCATTGAGGCTGTCCTGGAGAAGTTTGGTACCTATGAACGCTTTGAGGCTGCCACTGGAGGCCAGCTGCTGACCAAGTGCCAGATTTGGTCCATTGTGCGCAAATACATGCAGAAGGAGGGCTGCGTTGGGGAGGTGAGCTTGCCCTGCCTGGTCCCTCCTCTGCATGCCCTAAATTCAGATTGTGTATTGGGTGAGCCTAGGCTCAGCTCTACAGCTGGCCAGGTGGTGACTCCAGACAGACCCCTGTCCCTGCCCCAGGAAGGTGGGAGTTGGCCCTGAGCAAGGGTGATGAAGGGTGGGTGTGCTAGCCAGTGCCTAGCCTGGCAACTCTGTGGCATGGGTGGGCCTGCCTGCAAACTGGCCCCAGGGCTGCTAGCTATGGCTCAGAATACTGCCACCTGCAGATTGTGGTGCAGCTGAGTGAGGACCTGCTGTCCCAGGCAGTGATGATGGTGGAAAACAGCCGACCTACACTGGCCATCAACCTGACGGGAGCCCGCCAGTACTGGCTGGAGGGCATGCTGCGGCATGAGATAGGTCAGGCTGGGGTTGTGGTTGGGGGTGGGTAGGAATGAGAGGGGACTGAGTGTGGGGGCGAGGGGGGGAGGGCCCCAGTAACCCCCTCATTTGTTTTTCCCCTTCCCTCTGGAGGAGGACTGACCCTTTCCCTTCCCGAGCAGCTAGCTCCTCCCTCCTGTTTACAGAGGTAGGCCAGAACATGCCTGCCCACTCTCTGGGCTCACCTTCATTTCTTGCTCCTTTGGGGTATCATTTTCTCCCTCCAATTCCTCTCTGATTTCCTTGACAGTGAGGGCAAGGCTTCTGAGGCATTGGCAGGCCAGATGGAGAATCCCACCAGCCAGAGGGAGAATCCAGTGCGGGTGGGAGGCCAAATCCTTGGAATGGAATTGCTTGTAGATGCATAGAATCCAGTTTAGGAGGGGATGTTCCAGCTGGGAAGGAGGGCAGAGGACACTAATCCTATTCCTTTCTGTCTCCTTCCTCATCAAGAATCCCGTTGCTCTGGGCAAGAAGTGGTTTTGCTGGGGGCATCAACATGATTGTCCAAATGATTGATATGGACACATGGGGTGTGGGGACCGGGTGGTGCTTGTTCCTTGACTGTCTCTAGGCAAGCTGGGGCGATACGAATTGGGGGAGTTTAAGAGTGTATAACCCTGGATGGATTGGGGAGGATTTATGCATGTAAGCCTGTATGGGTTCTTAAATGTGGGGTCTCCATGGCACCTGGGATTGAGTATGCGTTTGTCTGGGGCTGGGGCAAATTTTTTTTTTTTGGGGGGGCAAATTTGTGTAAGACAGTGATTTGGGGGGCATGATGATACAAGAATTGCTACTAGAGATTGGCCTTGTGTGTCCTCCAGATGCTCTGCCGCCCAGCGTTGCCTCCTCCCCTTGCCTTCCCTGCAGGCACCCACTACCTGAGGGGAGTGAATAATGCACAACAGCCTTGGCACAGTGCTGAGGGCCGGCTGCAGTATGGGCTACGACCAGCCAACCCCACTGAGGAGGGTCTGGCCAGCCTGCACAGCGTGCTGTTCCGCAAGCAGCCTTTCCTGTGGCGTGCAGCTCTGCTCTACTACACTATTCACCATGCCGCACACATGTCCTTCTGCCAGCTCTTCCAAGACCTGGCACGCTATGTGCAGGATGCCAATGTGCGCTGGGAGTACTGCGTGCGTGCCAAGCGTGGCCAGACTGACACCTCCAAACCAGGTGGGCGCCGCACAGGAGGGAGGTCTGAGTTGGGCGGGGCAGAGGGTAGGGCTTTGGGACAAGGTCTCATCACCTCCATGCTCACAGGCTGTTTCAGCAAGGACCAGGTGTACCTGGATGGCATCGTGCGTATTCTGCGGCACCGCCAAACCATCGATTTCCCACTGCTGACTTCGCTGGGCAAGGTGAGGGGCTGTGAGCCTTCAGAGGTCCTGGCCAGCTAGTGCTGACTGGTGGGAGGGACATGGATGGAGTTTAGCAGAGGTGATAAAATGAGTCTGGCTGCCAAGAGCAGTTGCTTGACCTAGCCTGCAGGTTTGTTTGTGTAGATGTTGCATTTCAAAGCCCAGAGAGGCAGTCAGGAAGGCCTGTGGAAGGACACTGGAGAAATATCCAGGGACAAGTCCCTCATGCTGTGCATTTGTGCAAGGCTGAGGAAAGTAGACATCATCCAAAGCAGTGGGAAGCCAGAGACACTTTAAGCAATGGTGTGGCACAAATATTTGCTTTAGAAGGCTCCCTCCAATGTCATATGGGAGGTGGATGGGATATAGAGGCCTATGGAAGGGAGTGTAGGAACAAGAGGAGGAGCCCCTCCTATCATCCTTACAGGCTTAGTGGTCTGGCCTGACTGGGAAACAGCCATGAGGCTGGAGAGATGTTCAAGGTAGGCCTGGTGGCTTACAGCTGTCATCCGAGTATTTGGGAGGCTAAGGCAGGAGGATCTCTGTGAGTTTGAGGCCAGCCTGAACTACATAGCAAGATCCTATCTCAAACAAACAAACAAAAAAGAGATCTTAATAGAGTGGAATCCCTTTATCTCAGCAGTCACCCTGAGTGGGAAGGTGAATCCAGAGACCCTCCCTGGAACCTGACCTGGGTAACTGAAGATGTGGAGCTGGTATAAGCCGGGATCCAGGTGTGCTTGCTGGATATGAGGAGGTGTCTGGAAGACACCCAGGGACCAGTTGGATACCCATGTCTGGAGACAAAGGGATTGACTGGGCTGGCGAGGAGGGAGGTTGAAAGAGTGAAGACCCAGGACTAAGCCTAGAGGTATAGAACATGAGTGTGAATCAGAAAGGGAGAAAGAAGAATCCCAGAAACAAATGGCCGTGAGCCATCAACAGAGCTAGGACCAGCTGCCTGAAAGCCAGGGGCCTCTGCCTAGCCCTGAGGCTTAGCTTCCTCCCTGCAGGTCTCCTATGAGGATGTGGACCATTTGCGGCCCTATGGGGTTCTGGATAATACCCGTGTACCCCACTTCATGCAGGACTTAGAACGCTACCAGCAGCAGCTGGAACACATAATGGCCACCAACCGTCTTGATGAAGCAGAGCTGGGCCGCCTACTGCCTGACTGATGTTGGTTAACAGCTATAGGCAGAAGCTCTGGACAGAGGCCTCCAGGTCGGCCCCCAGAACATGAAGCTGTCTGCTCTGTGCTGCCACAGCCTAGGTGTTTCTTGCGGGTATGGGAGGCCAGGAGCATCCTGGGAGGCCAACAGCAATATCAGAAGGTTTTTGTCCCTTGCTAGTGTTCCTGAGGCCTGTGGACCAGCAACAGCATGTCAGGCAAAGTGTTGAAGAGGGGAGGCCTGGGAACAAGAGCAATGAGTATTGATGGGGATTTGGGGTGGTTTGGGAGTAGAAACTTGTTCTTGCATGAGATGGTTTTGGGTATTCAGTGCTCCAGTCCTTCCTGTCCTCCACCTGGCCCTTGGTGCTCCTTCAGCATTCATGCTGTCTACCTCTCACTGGGTCCTGGTGGTGGTTGGGATCCCCTCTGGGGTGATTGCTTGAGCTTGAGGTCCTAGCTTTCATACAGACTCAAAGGGTAGGGGTCCATGAAGTAGAGACCCAGCTGGGCTGGGGTTTGCTTTCCCGTATTTTGCCTCTCTCTGGTTATGTATTTAAACATGTATTTATACATACCTATGTGTTCTACTTCATGGGGCTGGGAGGCAGTGGCTCCTGAAGATTAAACAGAGGGACAGGACAGAAAGTAGCAGTTGTTCCTAGCCCCACTCATTTTATACACACACACACACACACACACACACACACAGCTTCAGGCCTTGTGAGTCCAGCGCAAGAGCTCACCTGAGGCCCCACCTCCACTCTGCCCCTGGTTCTGCTGTTCTTGTCTTTGCCCAGACCCTCATAGCTGGGCTGTGGCATAGGCTGGCTTAGCCTGGGAGTAGTCCTGATCAAGCCTGAAGGGCAGGCCCTAGGGTTTGTGGTCCCAGCCCTGAGCCTCTCCTGGACAGGGAAAGGTCCAGACCTGATTGTTGCTTCTAGTTTCACTTCAGAGTCAGCTGTGTGCAGTTGACTCAGTCCTTTTCCCTCCCTGGGCCTTAATTTTCCCATCTGTAAGACTCAGAAAAGCAGCAGGGAAGTTCTCATTCATTTAGTCCATGTATATGTATAGAGCGCCTTGTGTGTACCAACTTCTGGTTAGAACCCTTACTGAGCTTCCAGTTCAGAGAGAAGCCATCCAATTAAAAGAACCACCACAAAGATGTGTGTACCTTCCGTTGACTCAAAGTGTCTCTCAATTTCCTTCTTTTTTATCTAACTGAGCTCTATGCCTTCCCTAAGTGACAGAAGTCTCCTTTTCCTTACTACCTCAGGCTCACGGTTTGGGGTCGTTGCCTACACAGGCCCCCAAATGGCTCATGAGAGGAAAAGAGTGGTGGAGGAAGACCCAGGGGTCAGGTCCTTGTCCCTCTAGTGATCTGGGTCTGGGATTCCCGGAGTGCAGCCTGGGCCACCGAGCACAGAAAGGACCTGTGAACTTGTCATTAGAGTTTGCTGGGGCACGGGGCTGCCCAGGCCACTGGAACTCAGAGACATGAACCCACCCTCAGTTCCTGGGAAAACAGCCAGAATCGTGGAGAAAGCCTAGGCCCAGTCTGACCCTCTGGAGTTTATTCATTTCCAGCAGGCCAGATGGAGCCTAGGTGGCATCAAATACAACTCCAGCAGGATCCCAGGTCCTGTCTGGCTTGGGCTTGAGCTGAGAAAGACAGGTCAGCACTCTGGCCTTCAGGAGTCTAGAGGTGAAGGGAACAGTGGTCAAGGGGGAGGGGTAGACCCTCCACTTCACAAGCCATGCCCTCCACCAGTCCTCATAAGGGTTGGGTGGCCTCACGCCTTCAGATTCGTCCCCCTCCTGCAAGTCCGGCTCCGGATCTGGCTACCACTCAGGCTCCGGTTCCAACTCCAGTTCGAACTCCGGTCCGGCTTCTACTCCGACTCTGGCTCCGGCTCCGGCTCCGGCTCCGGCTCCGGCTCCGGCTCCGGCTCCGACTCCGACTCCGACTCCGGCTCCTCAGGCTCCGGCTCTGGATCAGGCTCTGGTTCCAGTTCGGGCTCCGGCTCTGTCCCTTGCTCTGGTTCTGGATCCATCTCAGATTCCTGTTCTGGCTCCTCTGGAGTCTCTGGTTGCACCGCCTCAGAGCCTTCTGGACCCCCGGCTTCCTCTTGATCTGAAGCTCTGGGCAACCCGGGATATGCAGTCCCGGAACTGGGTGCCTCAGGCGTCCAGTGGCCTGGGCACGGAGGATCATAGCTGCGGTCGCGGTAGCCTGAGGTGGGGGTAGCAGTGTCTCAGGCTCAATTTACCCTCTGGGGTTACCCTTGCCTACACTCAGCTACTTCTTGGGGAGATGGACAACTCTACCCTCTGCTTAGTCGTTGCCCCACCCCAGGCCACGCCCCTGACCTTGCCGAAGCCACACCCCGCACGCACTCACCCAGGCCCACGTGCTGCCAGTCCCAGGCAGGGTCCGGTGCACGCACGGTTTGCTGGGCACAGCGCAGCAGCTCCTGGCAGGCAGCCTCGCCCTTGCTTTGCACCAGCAGCAGCAGGCGGCGCACCCTGCGCTCGGCATCAGGCAGCGCATCCAGCGCCTCATACTCAGGCCCGGTGAGCACGCCCCGCGCCACCAGCGCGTCCAATAATAGTCCGGAATCCGCCTGCAACGTTTCTACTAGGCGTTTTCGCTCCCGGTCGATAGTCTCCGATGGCCGCTCTTGCACGTTGCCCATTGTAGGGCTGCACTGGGGAGGGGGACAGAGATAGAAAGGGCCTGGGCTAGCGACCCCTGACTTCTCTCCCAGGGCCCCAGTGCACAGTGGTGCTGTGGCCTAAATTCACTTTAGCGGCCAGACAGCTCCACATTACAGGACCTGAAGGGGCTGCACAGAACTTGTCCTCTCGCCGCCCGGCCGCTTCCGTCTTGCCTCCTCCTCAGGCTCCTCCTTTCCTCTCTAAACGTCAGCAGCCCGCTCTCCCCAGTCTGGACCTCCCTCCTGAGCTCCAGCTGCCTGTAGACTCTGTGACCATTTTAGACCTAGTTTATACAAACTAACTTCTTTCCCAAACCTGCTTCCCCGTCTCAACAAGCTGAAAAACCTAGGATTGCTCCTAAGAGTGTAGCTCACAATGGTCTTTCCTAGCCAGCTGAATATTTCTCTCCCCAACCTGACTGTGTACTTAGACTAGCCTTTTCCCTCCTGCTGGGACCCTGAAGAACTCTGGATGGAGGCCCTGCCTCCGCAATCTCTCCTCCAGCCCCCTCTGCACTGAGTACAAGCAGCTAAGAGCCTCCCCTTGCTTCTGTCACCTTAATTTGACCCCAAGGTCCAACTTCCCAGGGCAGGCACCCTTACCACCATCAGCACATTACAACCCCAGTGTAGTCCCATGTCCCTTTTTGGTTCCCAGGTAACTTAATTTTCCAAAGTTCTACTTTTGACTAAGATCTGACATCACCTCAGATTTGTCTTCTTGCTGGCCTGGAAGTAACTTACAGCCATTTGCTGCTTGATCTTGAAATACATAGGGTCCAGTTCATGAAAGCCACCAAGAAGGGGCTGGGGGTTTAGCTCAGCGGCAAAGCGCCTGCCTGGCAAGTGCAAGGTCGTGAGTTCGGTTCCGGTACCAGAGAATTTTTACTTTTTTTTTCTCCATTGAAGTCCCATATTGAGAGACTGTCTCTACCAATAATAGGAACTATGTAGAAATCAATCTGTTATTCATTTATTACCAGCTAAGAACTACAGCCCATTTCCTTGGGTGACCTGAGTCCTAACAGCTCTTGACATTAAGAGGTAAAGAGGTCAGGCCCTGGACCACTCCCATCTCTGCCCATTCATCCTATCTTGACTTTGTTCACACAGCATCTTTCCAGGTCTCCCCTTCCTTTTGGTGTCTGTTGTCTACCTCTTTTCCTCATCCATTTGGTCCTAGCCTCCAATGTCTCTCTCAGTATCCCCTTCAGCAGTGATGGAGAACCTTTTAGAGCCTTCAGTCATAGCAAACAGCCTGTCATGGCACACGTGCCATTTGTTTACCACCACTGCCCTAGTGTCATACTACGCTTACCCTGGTTGGTCACTTCATACCCTGCACCCCTCCAATTCTTCATGTTCAAGTATCAGTCCTTCCTCTCGGCCACCGAAGAGAGACCAGAGACCCCTGCTCCTCTATCTCCTCCATGTCCCATCTATGATAGTGCCTCTCAGAGTTCCATTAACTCCTGCCTCTCAGTACCATCATCATCACCTCACCTCCTGTAACCTCTGAGGACCTCTCACTTCCATTCCACCTCCCCTCAGTGTGGTGATGATGGCAACTCTCTGGAGTAGGATTTATTATTGCCATTTTACAGATGAGGTAGGCTCAGAGATCAAGTAGAGCTTCCTGAAGTATAAGGAAGTCTCCTGTCCAACAATGTCAGGCCTAAACACTTTATCTCCAGCCAGCCCCATGGCCAGAAGGAGTCCAAGCTATGTGGTCTGACTACTCTCTAACCACCTGTCATCACTCTGGACAGGCAGGCTCTTCCTCATTTCCTTCTATTCCTCAGTCCTGGGAGGACACACTACTATTTCCCTGGCACTTTTTTTTTTTTTTTTTTTTTCTTTTTGTCTTTTTGAGACAGGGTCTCACTATGTAGCCCAGGCTGGCCTTCAACTTGCAGCAATCCTCCTGCCTCATCCCCTGGAGTGCTGGGATTACAGGTGTGTGCCACATGCTGGGTCTGTCCCTGGCACTTTTGAACCTTTGCTGATGCTCTTCCCCAGGCCTGGAACACCCTTCCCTGCCCCACATTGTGGACCTAGCCTTCAAGTCTCAAACGTTCTCTTGTCCACCCCTATGCCTGAGTGTTCAAGGGCAGGTGGCTTCTTCTGTGCACACCAGGGAACACACTCTCACCACTGCATGAACAGACCTCACTGCACTGCATGCACGTGGACCCTCTGCGCTGCACAGCCAAGGCTTCCAAAGACTCCCCATCACTGGCACAAGAAGGGAGAGGGGTCAGCTCCTACTCTTTCCAGATGCAGAGAGGCAGGGGGCAGACTGGACTGGTTTCTCCTACTCCCTGCTCCTGAAGTCGTTCTGTCGTTAGCCTCTGCTTACCCCAATTCCTGCCCTTTGTCTTATCGAGGGAGCAGAAACCTGGACTGATTTGGGCATCACTTTTGAGGTTCTCTTAGCTCTAAGGTAAACAGCCAGGTTTTGTTGTGGCCCACTTTTCAAGGGACAGGTCCAGATGCTGCCCCGAAGGACCGGGTTTTGCCCCCACCTTTAGCTGGCGGCGCTTTTTCTGTTATTTCGAGGGTCCTGTGGGCCGTGTGAGCCTCTGGGCATGCGCAACCACAAGGATACCCTGACCTCCCTTCCACCCAGTCCCGGAGCTACAGCCCTGCGGAAGGGCGGGCCCCACAGACCTGCTAACTTGGCCGCGGATCGTGAGGTGCGGATTCTGCCCAATCTCAGTTTCCCTTCCCTCCCTCTCCGGTGGAGTGGGGTTCCTGGTTCAGGCGGCCTCACTCACCGGTCGAGCTTCGGGAGAGTAGGAGATGACAGTGCAGAAAGGGCCGAGCGGGGTGGGGACGGGTGCAGCAGCTGTGGCGGGGGCGGGGCGGGCAGGGCAGGGCTGCCAGGAACCGAGGGGGAGGGGTCGTTCTTCCAGGCGCTGGGAGCCTGGCCGCCCGGGTGGCACTGACTGGGGACTGAGGACCGACCTATAGGTCACTCCCCCACCCCCACCGCGAGGTGCACCTGGACACAGCCAGAGAGGGTACACTTTGACCTGCGGCTCCACGCGTCTGCATCGATGCCCAGGCAGTTTTCATCTGTCCTCCTGCCCACCTCTCCCTTCTTTCTCCTCACAGATGAGGTTCAAAAAGGGACCGACTTGTCCAGGGTTACAGAGGATATGCTTTGTGGAGCTGAGTGTAAGGAGCACCACTGCAGTGACCATGGACCAACGCTGAATGCAGGCAGGACTGCTAGCGTCAGCTCGCTAAGCACTCCCACTCTCCAGGGGTTCTTCCTTTAAAGCCCTAGGCTCTGAATGCTTCTACTAATACAAAGTGACCTCCTCCCCGCAACTCCTGTGCTCCCTGGTCGATAAAGAAATAGAGACCAGAAACAGGAAAAAAATGCAGTTTATATGTGGGGTAAAAGGAGAGAGGCTGCCAGTAGAGGGGGCTTCGCTCACCCTCCCCCCCAGGGGGCATCAGGAAGCCGAAGTGGATATGCTGTTGCAGGATGGTTCCTCAGGCAGGGTGCTTCAGAGCTGTGTGGGTCTCAGGGGGAGGGACTGGCCCCTGGGCCCAGGTAGGAGGCCCAGCTCTCAGGGGTGCTGTAAATGGCTAAAGCCCCTGGCACAGCAAGGGTTGGGCCTCCCAAATCTGCCTGGACATCCAACAGGAGTGGAGTCCCCAGTGTGGAGTCCTTTCCTAGGAGGAGTAGGGCTGTCATCAGAAGGGCATTTCTCCTTTTTTCCGGGAGAAGAGCCCAGAGTTTGACTTCTGCTCAGTCAGGATGAGCCCTTACTCTTAACCTTCCCACTCTCAGAGGTGAAGGGATGGGTGGCTCAGAAGGCTGTAAGGGCAGCCTAAATCCAGGGGATTGCTCTGCACAGCTCAGACTGCCCATCCCACCCAATCTTGGTAGGTCTGCCCAGCCCCCTGAATCCCCACCAACATTACCTGGACTTGGAGAATTTAGCCCTTTGACTGCCAGTTCAGCCTCACCCCTCTCGGGAACCAAGGGCTGCACCTGCATGGGAGAACCCCGGGAAGCAGCTGGGGAGAAGCCCAGTAGCTGAAAAGGAGAGCTGAGGGTTCCCTGGGGCCATCTTTAGACATGGCTTTGGCTCACTGAGATGCCAAGGACCAGAGGGTATGGCCCTGCCCCACCCCCATCTTACCAGGGACAGTGCCATGTCTAAGTCCAAGAGGGACCATTCTCGCCCTTGAAGGCTGGAGCCCAGCACCTGGGAAAAGCTGAGTCAGTGGTGCCCTCCCAGGCTGCACAGCCAGCTGGATCCCATTGCATCCCATGGCCATGCTCATGTTCCTGCCCCCGCCAAAGGGGTACTCACATCCATGGGCACTGCAGGCTCTACCCCCTCAGGGGGAGGCCGAAGCAGAGTTGGAGGTAGCTGACTTTCTGGGCTCCGGTTCCCCTGCTCCAGGTCCAGAGGCCCCCTGTACATGAAGAACTGTTGTCATCCTTCAGCTTGCAGTGTCCACCACCTCAAGGAACCTGGGTATATCAGGATTTACATCCCTCTCTATGAGCAGGGACACATAGAAAGTGCCTCTTCTTCCTAGCTGGGACCTGAGGTCTTGGGTTATGTTCCCCTCCCTGTGTAAATATCAGAGGTTTTAAAACTATTGTGTATTATAATCAATCCAGCGAACTCATTGAAAATGCAGATTCCTGACTTCTACAACAGAGGTGATGAGAGACCTGACTGGGAGTTTCCAGTTTCCAGAGAATTCTGGTGCAGGTGCTCACAGGAGCACACTATGAGAAATCAGGTGTCCAATGTCCCCCTCAACCACCAAGGGGCAGATAAGGCTGGGAGCTTCTTGGGCTATGAGTGCCCATCTATCTGTGAAAGAGGCCTGCAGGGTTCACTGTCAAGAAAGGGCTCTGCTCACCTGTCAGGCACCTCCCTGGGGCCTCTCGGTTCAGACTGTTGGGCACTCTTGGGGCCCTCAGGGCTGAAGCTTCCTTTCCCTTCCAGGATGGCCTTCACCACAGCCACAGGCAGCGGTGGGGGGTCTGTCACGCAGAAGTCACACTCGTTTGGGGCCAGGGCCAGCCCGGCCTCGCCATCCCCCCCTGGACTGGCTGGCTCTTCTTTGAGCAGTGCCAGGCCCTTCTCCCTGTACCAGAGAAAAGCTTCAGCCAGACCTTGGCACTGTCCTCTCTTCCTACCTCCACAGTCATCTGGGCTGCTAGGCCCACCCCTAGCAGGCTCCCCAGGGGCAGTCCTTGCCCCTCTTACCTCCTGCCACCATTAGAAGAAGGCCTGGGCCCTTCTGGGGATGGAGAGTCTTCTGGGATGTCAGAGATGATGGGGCCTCTGGCCCTGTGAGGGCTGAGGCCCAAGGTAGTCTCGGGGAAGGGCTGTAAGTAAAAAGGCTAGGCCCAGCCTTTGACTTCTAGCCAAAAGGAGGCCAGAACCCAACCAGCACCCACATGCACCAGGTCTAAAGGGCAGGGTTTGAGAAGGCAGGCTAGTTCATGCTGGGGAGCCAAGTATGGCAGTAGGAAGGCTGGCTTCCATCTTTTTGGGGAATGGAGAAAAGAAACAAGCTTCCTATAATCCTAGTTGTGCCCTAGGGAAGAGGGGGTTAAAACCTACCGACTGAATAAAGAAAGGGTCCTGTAGGAGGGCACCAGGAAGGGGACAGGTGTTGAATTTGGCAGGTGTTGGGCATAAGCTCCCTTCATCCAGCATTAGGGACCTGTGTAGGATGAGCAGGGCATAGGCTGGGGTGGCGCAGATTTGGGTCCTGTGCCTCTCAGCCTACACTTTCCTCTCTCCCTCCCTCCCTCCCTCCCTCAGGCCCCAGCAGCCAAGTCAGCAGAGCTGAGGCCTGTTGCCAGGCATCAGTCACATGCTGGAATGGAAGGGGCTCCCCCCCCCAGAGATGGGGGCCCTTTGGGGGTAGAGAGGGGAGGGAGGGAGCATGGTTTGGGCCTCAAGCCCTCTGTTGTTAGGATGCTTTGGGGAAGGGGAGGGATGCTGGGGTGGGAATTTGGGGTAAGGTCCTGGAACAGGAGGCTCTGGGAGTGGGGGTACCAGATGGTAGAGCTGGGGGATAAGGAAGAAAGCCCTAGACTAGATGAGGGTGGTTGTACAGGGAAAGGAATACGGATTCCTGGGAAGGAGAAAAAGGGGTGTCTGCCAGGAGTTCTGGGGTGGGGTCCTGGGGGTGGGAGTGTGGATGTGAGTGTCCCTGGCTTCCTCACTCACAGCTTTCTCTTTGTTCCTGCACTGCTGGGTCCTGTCTGAAGTGGCCCAAAGAGGCACTGGATCAGCTGAAGAGAAAGCAAAGGGTTAATTCATACTCATCGTCCACCCACCCCCAGCAAGGCAGGTCCAGGTGGGTTTGAGGACTGGGTGGAAGGCTGCCCGCGAGTGGGAGGGGGAGCAAGATGAGGGAGAGAAGCACCTTGCCGATGATCTGGTGCTGCTGACCGTGGCTCTGCCTCAGTGTCACCAACTCTCGCCATAAGATCTCATTCTGCCTGAGAGAAGGGGTGGGAGGGCGCTGAAGCTTCTGAGGGTTTGCTCAGTCATCACCCGCATGGGATGAGGAGGTTGGCATCCCGTGGGACCACCCCATGGCGGTCCATCCTAGGGTTCCACAGGGTCCAATTGTCTAGAAGGAAGTGCCATGGCCCAGGAGAGGAAGGGGCTCCCCAGAACCCCCTGACAGCCAGCATCCTCTCAAACAGATTCCCCTCCACCCTGTCTTCCCGGCTCCCGCACTGCCTGAGCTCCTGCAGCCGCGCCTCGGTGCTCTCTTGCACTCCCCGCAAAGCCTGCATCTCACCCAGCAGCCGCCCCAGGTCTTCTGGGCGCCAGCGACTGTCGTCACCTCGCAGCGCGGGTACCTGCGGATGGAAGGTGGCAGCGGGACTACGTCACTTTGAGCACGGCAGGCAGTCCTAACGCCTCACTGGGGTTTACTAGTTTTAGAAGGCTGCCCTCACCTTGCGCCGCACTCGCTCCAGTAGCTGTTCTCGGCCGCGTACGAAGCTCGGGTGCTGGAACTCGACGTGGTCGCGCTCCGGCCTGAGTAGGCCACCCTGCTCGATGCTCACCACCTTCCGAAAACCATCTAGGGAGTGAGGCGTGGGGGTCTGAGTAGCCCCACCCTCGGTACTAAGTCACCCACACCCGCTCCCTGTCCGGTGGCTCGAGGGACTCACACATGTTGAGTTGGCGCACAAAGCTCGCCATGTTGCTGTGCTTGAAATACTGGGGCAGAACTTCCTTGGCGAAGCGGCTCTGATCGCTTACGAGGAAGCTGGTCCCGCTCTACCGAGAACGCCGCCCGCCCGCGGTACGGGTGGAGACCAGAGTCCATGAGCAGCTGAGCGGCGCCCGCCCGCCACCAGGTCAGCGCTGTGGCACGCGCACTCACTCTGGGGTCGAGCCTGCCGCTCATAGGGATATGGAACAAGGGAAGGCCAGGACCAGCTGAGGCCCAGCCCAGGGCGACCAGTGAGTCCCTAGTCCTTACCCGACCCAGACTCGGTTCTCAGAAGGGAATAGCAGAGACCAACCCGGGGTCCACCTCGGACCACAAAGTGAGCCTGAGCCAGAGCTGCGATGCGACCCTGACTTGGCTGGAGCCAGCTCTTACCTTCTGGCCTGTTTTCTGATCGGTCAATGGGGTGAAGTGATAACTAAATGACCTAGGAGATCACTGGGGCTCTAGGTCTCCAAGGAGGCCCTAACCCTTCCCCTGCCCTAGAGGAAGTCGCTTCATCCTCAGCTCGCACACCCCCTCGAAGGTGAACTACCTGTACTGCAGAATCGAGGGACCCACAGCTCAGTCCCAGGCGGAGTCCCAGGCTGGGTGGGCGTGGATGTTCACTGACTTGGAGGGACCCCGGGGACCACTGGGGGTGTCGAGGGGCCCCGGCCCTCACCGGGCTCCAGCGGATCAGGTGGTCGGTGCCTGGGTCGCCCACCAGCGCCCATAGCTTGCCGAGGAAGGCAGGCACGGGGCTGGGGCCTGGTTCCGTGGGCAGCGCGGCTGGCGCTTCCTGCATGGCGCAGTCTGGCCGGGCTCAGCGCTCGGCCCGGCCGCTGCGGGCTTGTCCAAACCGTGAAAGTGCTGCGTTTGCCGCCCGCCCCGCCCTACTCCGCCCCCAGGCGCTGGGTCAGGCGGGGGCCACGTGCGAACCCACGGGGCGGGGCTCGGACAGCGGCCGAGGCGCCATCAGACTGTAAGGGCTGGCTGAATCGGAAATGTGCAGAGATAGGGTGCCGGGGGAGACCTGGGTTCGAGTCCCATCCTTCTCAGTCTATTTCCTTCTGCATTCTTTGGGAGAAATCTTCGTGTGTAAACTGCTGTGAATTTGGAAAGTCTTAGAAGGAGATAGCCATGGGCATAGTGAAGCCGCGGTTAGGGCAGACAGGATGGGTGGGAATGGAAGGACGCTGGGGTGCAGGCATTGCAAGGGTTCGGAATGCCCCGCCCTTGCCCGTGAGCCGCTTTAGTACCGCAGACCTTGGAGTCTGGATCCTTTCCGCCTCCGCTTGGAGGACTCTTCCTGCCTCCGCTCTTTCCCAGCACTCTCCCTTCAGAACCGACCCAGCCTTTCAGAGGATTCAGAGATACCTCAAGGTCTGTTTATTTCACACAATCCCAACGACCCGGCGCAGATACTGCAAGGTCTGTTTATTTCACATTCACCCCTGCGGCTGGCCAGCGCCCATGGCCACCCTCCTTCCATGCCGGGCTGGGGCAGAGTGCACAGAGGGATGTGGTGGAGAAGCCCCCCTACTACCCCGACAGAGTTGCCATCTGCAGAGGCTGAGAGCACCGAGTGGACTCAGAGCGCCCCGGACTGGTTCGGACACCACCCTACAGGTCCCAGTCTCTGTCCCGGAGAGGCACAGAAGGCAAACGATATCCCAAAGGGGCTGGCAGTTGGAGGGCACCCAGGAAACTCCCGCCCGCGTATCAGAGACCTCAAGTCTGCAGGTTGGGGGTGGGGAGTTGACCAATCACCACACGAGCGTGGGCTGCCAGGGATGTGGCTCACGCTTCAGTTTGAGCGTGTAGCTGCGCAGGCGCGGGCAGTGTGAGCGGAAGGCGTCAAGTACTGAGGGTCTCACCACGCAGAAGCAGTGTATCTCGTGCAGGAGGGAGCAGCGCGCTGCCAGCTCCTGCAGCGCAGCATCCAGCTCGGGTGAGGTGGAAGCGCGCACCTCTAGCACGCGCAAGGTTGCAGCGTAGTGGCGCGCAGCGAAGTGCACCGGACCTACGGTGTCACCCGAGAGGTTGAGACGCAGCGCAGCCACGGGTATTGTTGGCTGCAGGAGACGCGTCACGCTCTCGGCTGGCATCGCAGGCTCAAGCTCTAGCTCCACTGCCAGCTCAGGGTGGCGGCAGCGTAATGCCGCCCAGAATTCGTCGGGCACGGGGGATGCGCGTGCGTCTTCAGGGCACGCGCACCGAAGGGCCAGGAGCTTCAAAGGTGCACGATCTGGAGAGGCCAGCGCCTGGAGGGCGGCAGAGGATAGACTGGCCAGGTGCAGGCCGAGGGCGCGCAGATGCGGGCAGGCCTCCAGCAGCTTGAGTACTGAGCGGGGCCTCACACTGTCCACCAGAGTATGGTTGTCCAAAAAAATGCTTCGGAGCTCTGGGCAGCCACGCGCCACCTGCAGCACCAACTCGTCATCCAGTGTGAAGGGCAAGCGCCGCAGGTCGAGGTGGCGCAGCTTGCAGGCATTCCTGCAGACAGCTTGCACTGCGCCCAGGACATCTCGGCCTGAGTCAAACAGCGGTTTCTCACCGAGGCACTCCAGGCGCAGGCCTCGAAGCCTTGGGGCACGGTCCGCCACGGCAGTCAGCAGCTCAGTAGCTGACTGGCGACTCAGCTTCCTCGACGGCTCATATTCCAGCCGCAGATTGTGAATGTAGTCCAGGCAGGTGTACAGATTCGGCGGCAACATGCCTTCCTGCTCACAGTCGCAACTTGATTAGAGTGCAGAAAAGAAATTGGGGGATCTCTGCGACCTGAGGAGAGGCCTCTACTATCCCTCCGCTTGGATTCCCACTGTCCTCTCGCCTGCCTGCGCCCAGTGCACCCATCTCTCTGTCTGGACCTTGCTGTTGTCCCATGGTAGCCACTGATGGTGGAAGGAACGCTCATCCTATCCCTTTAGAAGACTTCAGTCTTCTAAACCCTAGCACGGAGAGCCAGTAATATTTTAGGAACTAGCTGGCTCTAAGGAAGTGAGACGGGGTGAAGCCTGTGGGTTGCCAGGCTCAAATTCCGACTCTGCCACCCACTTGCTGAATAACCTGTGGGAAGTGATGAAATCTCTCTACCTCATCTGTGCAATCGAGTTAATGCAGCCTATCTGCCACCACAGGAGGTTTTTGTGAGGATTAAATGAGTTAATATATGCAAAGCAGTTAGAATAGTTGGTACATACACAGTAGGTGATCAGTAAATGTTAGTACTCTAATTCCTTTTGGGTGAATTTAATAAATCTCCCCAAACCCCAGCTCCACAGAGCAAGTGGGAGGATGAGTAGATGGCAGGAGGCAGAGGTGTCAGCTCACCTGATGTTCGTGTCATACCACAGGGCACTGCTGGTAGCAGCGGTGGCCCAGGCCCTGCAGACTTCAGCAGCAGCGGCACGGTCCCTTAGGGGCAGGTGGCGAAAGATGAGCACCAGCACCTCTTCTGGCAGTTGTTCTGCCATGTTGTGGCTGAGGCTTCAGCCGCTGCTCCCACAGATCAGGCCTGAAGAGAGAGGGTGTCCCTGGGCTCAGGAAGGGAACTCAGGAGCGTGGGTGTAAAAATGCTTGTGGTTTTCGAGCTGCTATATTTTATGACGCCTTCTGCAAAATGAAAATGCCCGAATACCTGTTTACACATTAAGGATTTCAATTTCAAAGGGCTGGGGATGTAGCTCAGAGGTACACTCTAAGCACAATCCCAACACCACCAAAAAAAATTTAAAGCAGTGGCAGCAGAATTTTCGACCAAGTATTCAGCCAAGCGTGAGGCCCCCGACCCACTGAGCAGGTCTCATTCAGGTCTGTAAAGTCAGCCCTGAGTATGAAAGGGTTCCTTTTCCGGTTCTTTATTTTTCACTTGTTGAACAAGGTCCAGGTGATTCTGTAAATTCCTACTTCAGAAACCTTTCCCCAAACTCGCCAGCCAGTAGAGGATGACTACAGGGTTAATAAAGCGAAGCAGAAGCGCGGAGTGTGGCTGTGTGTGAGTGTGTATCATGTGTGTGTGTGTGTGTGTGTGTGTGCGCGCGCGCGCGCGCGCGCGTCTCATCTGGCTCCACCCAGAGACGGGAGGATCCTTCACTGCTTGGGGTTCGATGCCTGACAGCTCCGGCTTTTGAGAGGCTGTAGTTCAAGGTCAAGCCCTGCCCCTTGAGCAGCCCTGGCTCCTGCTGGGCAGAAATTCAGCACATTCACCCGTTCCCAGCTTTTACAGGAAGGATGAAGTTGTTGGGAACTGTTTGTCCGCTTTTTGTTTTAAAGTGCATGAAGCTTTTGTACATTTCACACCACTTCCCAGTTTATTTTCCCATATCCTCCCGGCTATCGGTCTCTCCTGGAATTTGCGCCATATGTACCCTGGGGGTTTCGGATACCCTCTGCCAGTCTTGTTCTTGGGAGTGGCACCCGGTTTGAGTACCAGGGATTAGCAGAGGTGATATTATCTAACCGGATCCTCTGAGGCCACGAGAAAATTCTGATCCCCAGGTGGCGCCCTCTAGTTGATCCACCTCGAAAGGACGGAAGTCCGGCAGCTCTCACTCTGCGACCCTTCGGTCTTAAAAGAATTTCAAAATCCCGAAGTTACCACCCGCCAGCAGTTCTTCCTGCTAACTTGAGGCGTCGACATCTTACCTGCTCAGCGGGCGGGCCGGGTGGGCTCCGCTCAGAGGCAGGGGATTAGCCACGGAGGACAGCCGGGCGGGTGGAGCCGCCGGGAGCCTGGAAGGCGGGACGTGGGGGCGGACGGGGCGGCTCGGCCTGGGGCACCGCCCCAGCGCCTCGGCGCACACCCGGAAGCGGCTTGGTGGAGCGGACCCTGGCGGGCCTGGGAACCCAGGCTCGGCGGAGGTGGCCAGGTTAGTTCAGAGGGAGGGAAGGTGGGCTCCTGGGTGCAGCAGGAGCAGAGGTATATTCTGGCTCCCGAGCGTAAGCACCGTGTAGTTGTCACCAGGCGGTGCCGTGGCCAGCTGGTGGCGGCGGCCTATTGAGCTGTTTCCGTAGGAGGAGGAGAGGTACGGACCTTGATCCTTGCTGGTTCCTTGTGCCAGCTTAGAGCTTTGGGAGGGCTGGTGGGCCATACAAGTGAGAGGGTGTTGAGAAGGGACTGGGTCTGTGATCGAGACCCCTTTCTCCTCCCAGTGCAGGCACGTGCGAAAAACCCAGCGTGAGGGTGCGCTAGCGGGAGCCTGGGAAGTTCCCCTCGCGAGGTCCAAAGTAGCGCAGTAGAGTAGGGGGTACTCCGGCTGGTTGCATCGAGTTGCTGGCTTCCAGTCCTCGGGCCACGCCTACGGGCCATCCCGCTCACCCCACCAGAAGTGAGGCTGCCTGTCCTGTGTTAATGGGGCGTCGTGCCTGGCAGTCTTCTGGTGGCAGTTCTTAGTTTGGTACCCAAGTGTCCACATTAACGTTTGCTTGTTATCCTAGCAACTCAGCCTGGAAGCCTCAGCCCTGTCTGAGGAGGGGTGGATTCCCGGTGGGTGGGGCTCGGGGCTTCCCAAGGAAGAGTTTTCTGTGGAAGGCCACACAGGAATGATTCCAAAATGGACAGTGGCAGAGAAGAGCTTCCCAGCCCCATTGCTTCTTTACCTTGTTAACCGACCTCTCGACCTCCAGCCCAGGGTGGGTACTTGGTGAGACATCTCCCCTCTCCAGGTTTCTGGTACCCACGTGGAAGACCTGATGGTCAGACTCTGGTTCCTTCAGTGCCTACCTCCACTCTTTGGGCTGAGACCACATCCACCACAACCACCAGAACTTCCAAGTTGGGGGGCTAGGAAGATGTGAAAGAAGAGACATTTCCAGGCTCCCCCATGCCACTTTTCCTGGGCTTCTTACTTGTCTTCTTGATTGGCTCTTCTTGAGACTCCAGGTGACAAGTAGGGCCAAGACAGCACACTTCCATACTTGTTGGGGGTTTTTTTGTTTTTGTTTTTTTTTGGTACTGGGAATCAAACTCAGGACCTTGTGCTTGCCAGGCAGGCACTTATGCCACTGAGCTAAATCCCCGGCCCTTGTTTTGTTTTTAACAAGAGACTTTTTTTTAGTACAAAGGAAATGTTTCTATTTTACATAAAGTATAAACTATTGCTAAATACAAAGAAAATTAAAAATCACTCCAAATCCCCTCCCATCCTGCCCAAAGATAAACACAGTACTAGTATTCTGTTAATTTAAAAATTAGCGGTTAATTTTCTGTTGTTTTAGGTAAGCCCAAAACAATTAATACATTTTCTATGAAGAGATTAGCGGGGAAGTGACGCTTCAAGGTGTGTCCCCTGTGCTCAGAGCCATGGTAGGGCCCTCGCCAGATGTCATTTCTCCTGCCAGGGTGGGTGACACAGTCCTGCTTGGGCACATAGGTTAGGAATTGGGGGCAGAGCTGAAATGTAGTTTCTGTTTCAAGCTCAAGATCCTTACTTCCTTCTCAGTATGTCCAGGCTCCTGCTCCTGGCTCCTCCTGGCAGCCCTGCAGCCAGCGGAGGCTACCCCACCTGCCCCACCCAGAGCAAGGGCTCAGCAGCCCTCCTACTTCACCACTGCAAATGCTAAAACCAGAAAGTAAAGGAAAATGACTGGTAGCAGGAGGTGGGGTTTTCTGGGAAAAGGGGGATGTGTTGCCTCAAGGGAGGCAGATAAGAAGAGGCAGGACAGTTTCCCCACTTGCCTCCTCAGGGGGCGATAACAGGGTCAATGAGGCGAGTCCCTGATTGGGAATTGTGGCTCCTGCTCTAGGGTCAGGGTGTTTTGTTTTGGTTTTTGCCTTTTTGAGAAAGGGTCTCACTGTGAAGTTTGGGGTGGCCTTGAATTCATTTTGTAGCCCAGCCTGGCTTGGAACTTGAAGCGATCCTCCTGCCCCAGCCTTCCAAGTGCTGGGATTATAAGCATGCGTCATCACACCCAGCACTTAGGGTCAGGTTTTTGACAGATGGATGGAGAAGATACTAGCACCAAGGAGCCTTGACTCTATCTGGATAGGGAACAAGGGAATCTATAAATAGAACAATTTGAGTTGGAAAACACAAGAGCCCAATTCCAAGGGCTTTATATCAAAGTGGAATGGTTTAGCTCACATAACTGAACAATTAGGGGTTCAGTGGTTTCAGAGACAGGTACACCTGGGGTCAGTGTGATTAGGAGTGTACCTCTCCATCTCTTGGCTCTGTTTCCCTCAGTATCAGTTTCATTCTCAGCCAGGCTCTTCCCAAGCAGTATCAAAGGAGATTTACCACTTCCTTCTCATTCAGCCCCAAGGGAAGGGAAATTAATGCTATTAATACAGCTGAGCACCATGCTTGATTCTGATTGGTCCAGCTTGAGCCCTATATGGGGGCCTGAACTAATCCATGCAGAATGGTGAGCAGAAAATGTATACTGGCCAAGCCTGCGTCACATACCCTGACATGGAGCTCGGGAGTAGGATTTTTTTTTCGCCTGTACCAGGTATCAAACTCATGACCTTGCACTTGCCAGGCAGGCGCTGTGTCGCTGAGCTAAATCACCAGCCTCTAGCAGGTAGGATTAGCATTCCCAATAAGCTTACAGAGAAGAAGAGGGAAGAGAGGAGTTCACAGAGGTCTAGGGTTAGTGGCGGCAGTCTATGTAGGAATAAACTACAAGTTTTTTCCTAAAAAAAAAAAAAAAAAAAAAGCAAAGCCAAAAGGTATAATGGGAATGCAGACGAAGGATTCTCAGGGTGGGGTTGTAGACCTGCAGAGGTCCTGGGTCTCAAGTTCAGGCAGAAGGTAAGGCCAGGGTCTAGTTGGGTTTGGGCATGGGCAACATTCAGAATGATATCTGCTGTCATCTTTGGCTTGAGGAGGAGACAGAGGCTCTCTCTTTTCCCTGCAGGGTTTTTCTCTGCTCTTCTGCCACTATGACCCTGGACTTTTTTTTCTCTCTCAGTAGTGGGGATTAAACCTAGTAAACTGGGGATTGCCCAGACTTAAAAATTCTAGGCAAAAACAAACAAACAGGGCCAGGGATATAGCTTAGCAGAACAAGCGCCTGCCTGGAAAGTGCAAGTTCCTGAGTTCGATTCCTGGTACCAAAAAAAAAAAAAAAAAAAAAAAAAGAATAAACAAACAAACAAAAGCCCCAAACAACTAGGCAAGTACTGTACCACTGAGCTATCTCTCTAGCCCTTTTTATTTTTTTATTTTAAAACAAGCTCTCATCAAGTTGCCTGGGCTGGCCTTAAACTTGCCATCATTCTGCCTCGGCTTCTTGACGACAGCTGAGATTATAGGCATGTGCCAGTCCACTGGACAACTATGGGCTTTTGCTGGAAGTCAGTGGAAGAATAATCCTCACTGCAAGTCTGGGCAGGGCTGGACAGGGCTTCATGTAGAGCTAGAGGCAAAAAGGGCTGCCTGTGAGATGGTGAACTCCTGCCCCAAGTGTGCAAGCTGACTGGGGTTGCTGTGGGGAATAGGTGGGCCACATGGAACTGGACAGTTGTCTCCAAGTCTGGGAGTGACCTGGATTCCTGTCTGTAGGTCCAAGACGCAAGATGGCAGCTGGGTCAAATGGGCATGAAGAGTGGGTGGGCAGTGCATACCTGTTTTTGGAGTCCTCACTAGACAAGGTGGTCCTGTCAGATGCCTACGCGCACCCCCAGAAGAAAGTGGCAGTATACAGGGCTCTGCGGACTGCATTGGCAGGTGCGTGGCTTGCGGTATGGACAGAGCTGGGGCTGAGGCTCTATCTTTTCAGTTGGGAAAAGATTGGGAGTGGGAAGTAATTGGGGCCTGGGGCTGGATAGGGGAGGAAGAGCCCTGGGAGTAGGGTCAGCCTTCTCTGCTTACTACATGCATGTTCTCGAGCAGATATGTGTACCTGCGTCTAGGTATGATCTACCTATTTCTGCACTAATGTCTCCCTGCTCTGTGCACCCTCTCGCCCACCCTCCTGACCATCCAACTCACTCCTTTCTACTAATTGCACATTTTTCCCTCCTCTTTTCCTCTCTCACTGCAGCATTCCTTGCCTGAGACCTCTCCCTAGGACCTACTGTTCTAGGTCCCTCTTACCCACCTCAGGGCAGAGGCCAAAGAAGGCTGAAGCCGGTTGGGGGGATTCTACTTCAACCTCAGCGACGAGGATCCCTCTCCTTCCAGGGGAGCAGGAACCTCACTAGGTGGAGGCTGAAGACCTGAGACCTCACACCCCTCCCCTTATCCTTCTCAGACAGCTTGGTGGCCCAGGCAGGGCAAGGGTCCCTTTTCTGTGTTGAAAAGGCCCTCCTTTTGGCTCACCCTCATGTGAGGTTTTAGAGATGAGACTAGGTTACACCCTCTCTAGTACATTCTGGCCTGCTTTCTGGGTTGTTGCTCTTTGCATCCCAATTTTATCTCCCACCTGGGACTTTTGGTAATTCTGCACCCCAGCCAGAGGATGGGGACAGGGGTTCAGTTGATCACAGGCTTCACCTTTCCTTCGGCTGCTTGGAGAACGGCCCCGCTAAGGGACCGCCTGGCGCCTGACTGCTCGCCTCTGCAGAGAGCTCCCAGAGTCCCGATGTGCTACAGATACTGAAGATCCACAGAAGTGACCAGCAGCTGATCATACAGCTGCGTTTCTGCGGGCGCCAGACTTGTGGTCGTTTCCTCCGCGCCTACCGTGAGGGGGCGCTGCGTGCCGCGCTGCAGAGGTGCTTGGCGGCGGCTCTGGTCCAGCCCTCTCTGAGGCTGCAGCTGGAGCTGCGCGCTGGGGCTGAGCAACTGGATGCTTGGCTGACTGATGAGGAGCGCTGTGTGCAAACCATCTTAGCCCAGAAGGTGCAGCCGGCTGGGGTCAGGATGGGATAGGGCGGGGATTCGCCGTCAAGAGCCCCACTGACCGCGCACTCCCTCCCCCAGCCGGACCGGCTCCGGGATGAGGAACTCATTGAGCTGGAGGATGCGCTCAGCAATCTGATGTTGGGCTCGGCGGGCCAGGGTGGCAACGCGGGGGTCACTCCAGCCCCTTCGCAGTCCCTGGCCCCCTCTCCATTGGAGGAGAAGTCACTGCCGTCGGCTGGCCAGACCTTTCTGTTCCGAGGTCAATCCATAGGTGAGGTGCAAGTGCAGAGGCAGGGCCCCCAAGTTGGGCCGGGTGGGCATGGGTGGGTACCGGCTCTGGGGTGCCCTATGCCCACCCGCCTGTCCACTCCCTCTGCAGTGAACCGGCCGCTGAACCTGCAGGACCAACAGACCTTCGCACGCTCAGTGGGCCTCAAATGGCGCAGGGTGGGGCGCTCCCTGCAGCGTGGTTGTCGGGCACTGCGGGACCCTGCTCTCGACTCACTGGCCTATGAATACGAGCGCGAGGGGCTGTATGAGCAGGCCTTCCAGCTGCTGCGGCGCTTCGTGCAGGCGGAGGGTCGCCGTGCCACGTTACAGCGCCTGGTGGAGGCCCTCGAGGAGAACGAGCTCACCAGTCTGGCAGAAGACCTGCTGGGCCTGGCGGATCCCAACAGTGGCCTGGCCTAGGCCGGGTGCCAAGGAAGTGCAGTCAGCCAGGAGTCCAGCCAGGGTTTGGAGCACCTGGATGGATCTAGGGTTCCATCTACTGCTACTGATAACTGCTGATGCCTCCCGCTTCCATCCAAGGGACTCTGAGACCACACTTAACAGCTCCACTTCACTGAGCAGCTGGTGGTGAAGCTGACTGGCTTCCCAATGCATCAGACAAACACCTCGGAGCCTGCAGGGTGCACCATGGTGATTCTGCCCCAGAGTCTTTGATGGAGACAGTGTGGATGTCTTCCTTTCTGGCTGGCCCTCACCTCTTCATTCATAGAAAAATGAACCACCTGGAATTTCCATGTCCTAGGTATCAACCCTCGTGCTGCAAAAACTGGTGAGCAAGACACATGAATCCTTTCTACCCCCAGCTCACAGCTGGAAGTGGTAATAAAGTGTGACACTTTTGCACACAGTGAGTTGTGGAAGCTATTCCAGTCTGGGTTAGGCTTCAGGAATACATAAGTGGGAGTGGGGCGTAGTGGGGAGAGTGTCAGAAGTACAAATTTAGGTCAGGCATCATGGCATGCTTGTAATCCCAGCCCTTGGGAGGCTGAGGCAGGAGGATTGTTGCAGCCTGGGCTACAAAGTGACCTGGCCTGAACTGTATAGCAAAACCCTGTCTCAAAAAGAGAAAGACCAAAAACAAAACAAAACCAACAAAAGTACAAGTTTAGAGTGGCTGGATGGGGTAGGGTGGGGTAAGTTACTGAATGACCCCTGGGTGAGGGATGACATGGAGTCTGACGAGCCATTTTACAGTTGGTATTTTACAAGGCCAGTGAGAAGGCTTTGAAGGGTTTGGGGAATTAAGACTGGGAGCTTGGTGAGGATGGAGGAAGACAAGGCTGGGACAGTGGCTGCAGAGGTAGAAAGAGACTGAACACCAAGAGCTGTTTAGGAAAAAATGATAACAGCTTGGTGACCCTGAGAGAGAACCTGGGGGAGGTGTTTGCTCTGTCCCCAGGGAATGATGATCCTGCAGGGCATCCAGGGAGGGTGTGTAAGGGACACTGGCTATATAGTTCTGAGTTTAAGAGATGAGTCAGGCTAAAGATTCATGAATGGATAGGTGGCAGTGGGTGGGATGGCCCAGAGGTAGGTCCCAAAAGACATCTACTAGAAAAAGAGCTGCCCAAAGAGGAAGGAAAACCAGGAGATTTGGAAGCCAGGGCATACCCAATGATGTAATGGAGGCTGCCTATCTGTCGAGATTGAGGAGCACCCTTTGGTTCAGAGCTATACCACAGGAGGCAGTGGAGAAAGCCAGAGGACTTACTGGTCTGTAAATGGGAAATGCAAGGCTTGGAATGACAGCCCCTGGAAAGAGGACGGTGCTGGGTAGCACCACTTTTTAGCAGCCTGTTCTCAGATTATAGAATGTGGTGTCTACTCCAGTCTCTATCACATGGGCCAAGGGGACCTTGAATTCAGGAAGACAGAGCTGTGAGCCAGCAGCAGAGCTAGGCAGGGACTGGGTGCTCCATCCCCAGGGTCTCTCTGCCCACTTGGGTCACAGCTCAAACCTTTGCCTGTGTGATTGCAAGAAGCCTCCCCAAGTCCAGGTTGAGCCAGACTTCATTGTCACAGGCATGGTCCTTTCTACCTGCAGGAGGCAATACTGGGGATTAGGAGACTCAAAAGGATCTGGGTCCCTGGTTCTGTATCGCAGGGGACAGATGAGGGGCAAGGAAGCAGAGAGGGAAGAGTCCTGGACTGAATTCTGGAAGACCTCAGGGCTGCACAGTACTTTCTGACAATCATTTAACTCCCTGAGAAGCAGTTTTCCCACCTGGGGACAAGAAATGAGAGTTGCTGGCAGGGTTGTTTTAAGAATTGGATTGTCTTGCTTGTTCATGCATGCATCTGTGTGCATGTGCGTGTGCGTGTGCGTGTGTGAGAGAGAGAGATGGGGGAGGGGGGAGAGAGAGGGAGAGAGGGAGAGAGAGAGACAGAGAGAGACAGAGAGAGACAGAGAGAGAGAGAGTATTTGGTATGATGAGCCAGGAGTAAGAGGCAGTCATTTGTTCCAGGGGCAGTTTATGGCTTGGGACCAGGGCTGCTGAGGAGAGGCACTCTGAAGAATTACCCAGGATAGTGGCCAGGTAGACACTTAAGACCCTCTGCCCCAGGGATTTGGGACCAGTCAGCTCATGGGCTCCTGGCAGCCCAGGCCCCACCCTATCTCCTTAGAGACAGCAGTGAAGGGTATCCACAGACAGGATACTTCCAAGCATCAAAAAAGGTGAATTTGTGGAGTCAGACAGCACCATGACCTGGTCTTCCTCATCCACAGCCCTCTGGTGAAGCATCCTCTCAGGAATTAATTAGTCCCTACTTGGAATTGGTTCTCCTGGTCGGCATGGGGCGGAGCTGAGCTCCAGAGGTCTTGCGCGCACAGCTGGAGGGTCACGTGGCACGCCTCCCCCCCCCCCCGGGCCCCCCTTCCTGCCAACGCAGCATTTGGCTCAGGCCCCGTCTATGGCCGCCCTTGGGACCCTGTGCTGAGCCCTAGAGGCCCCAGCGTCAGGGTGTCGCGCCGCTCCTGAGGGCCTTGCTTGAGTGTCGGGATCCCAGGGACCCAGGCTGCGAGCGGGACGGTAAAGGTATAAGGAACGGATTCAGCCTCAGTGCGGGAAGGAGTAGGACCGAGGTTCCACTTCTCCCTGCCGGGCTTTGGGGCCTCATCCTGGATTAGGTGGGAGTTGGGTACAAAGGGGGAGCTTCTCATCCCCCTAGCCCGCTCATCACAGCAGTGCGTAGGACCCGGAGAGGGATGAACGTCTAGTAACTGGAGGCCCCTGGGGCGTGGCCTTTTGCCCCCTCCTCTCCGGGAGGGCAGGGCTGGGAGTCCCTGCCGACTGCCCCTCACTCTACCACCTCCGGAGGCCCTGCCTGCGACCCTTCGAAGGGAGGGACGGTGCTGTCCACACGGACATGAGGAGGCTGCGCCTACGCGGGGACGCGTTGCTCACGCTGCTTCTCGGCACCGCCCTCGCCCTCCTACTCTATGCGCAGCACGATGGCCCGGCCCCAATTTCAAGAGCGCCCCGAGAGCACGGGCGAGGGGCAAGGAGGACAACGCTAAGGCCCCGCATATTTCAGGTACCAGCCGGCACAGCCCCACCCGCCTATGAAGAGGACACGCCCGCACCCCCTACGCCTCCGGGCCCTTTTGACTTCCGCAGCTACTTGCACGCCAAGGACCTGCGGCGCTTTCCCCTGCTCATTAACCAGCCACACAAGTGTCGTGGCGATGGCGCACCTGGCGGCCGACCCGACCTGCTCATTGCTGTCAAGTCTGTGGCTGCTGACTTTGAGCGGCGCCAAGCTGTGCGCCAAACATGGGGCTCTGAGGGTCGCGTGCAGGGTGCGCTTGTGCGCCGCGTGTTCTTGCTGGGCGTGCCCAGGGCCGCAGGCACCGAAGGGGCAGATGCAAAGGGGGCGGACATGCAGGGGCACTGGCGAGCCCTACTGCATGCTGAGAGCCGTGCCTACGCGGACATTCTGCTCTGGGCCTTCGACGACACCTTTTTCAACCTAACGCTCAAAGAGATACACTTTCTGGCCTGGGCCTCAGCCTTTTGCCCTGATGTGCACTTTGTTTTTAAGGGCGATGCTGATGTCTTTGTGCATGTAGGGAATCTGCTGGAGTTCTTGGCCCCGCGGGATCCAGCGCAGGACTTGCTTGCGGGTGATGTGATTGTGCAGGCACGACCAATCCGCGCGCGAGGTAGCAAGTACTACATCCCCGAGGCTGTATACGGCCTGCCTGCCTATCCAGCCTACGCAGGCGGCGGTGGCTTTGTTCTTTCGGGAGCTACGCTGCGCCGCCTGTCCAGTGCATGCAAGCAGGTTGAGCTCTTTCCCATCGACGACGTCTTTCTGGGAATGTGTCTGCAGCGCCTTCGGCTTACACCGGAGCCTCACCCAGCTTTCCGCACCTTTGGCATCTCCCAGCCCTCAGCCGCGCCTCACCTGCACACCTTCGACCCTTGTTTCTACCGTGAACTGGTTGTAGTGCACGGGCTCTCTGCTTCTGACATTTGGCTTATGTGGCGCCTGCTGCACGGGCCATATGGGCCGGTCTGCGCACATCCACAGCCCGTTGCTGCAGGCCCCTTCCAATGGGGCTCTTAACTACTAATCGGTGGCTGACTTCTGTCACCCAGCCCCAGAATGGAGCTTTTTAAAAGGGTTCCCCACTAGGATACTATTGTGTATGCAGCCCTTGCCCAGACTACTGGGTGTCTGCCTCAGGATCCTAAAGAACACTGAGCTTGGCTCCTGGTGGCCCACACTATCAGAAGCAGGTCTAGAACCAATGTCATGGTGGCCCCACTAAGATAGCCAGGGCTGGGGGGTTAGAAGACCAGTCTTGCCCAGCACGCCTTACACTAGTAGATATATTTAGTTTTCCTAGTAGCAAATAGGTGTATATTTTGGTGGGAGCTTGGTTTCAAACCCTCAGATGATGAAGACACATGCAGCGGGGCTCATCCTCTTTAAGACCAGGCCTCACAGCCAACATAGACTTGGCAGGCATTATGCCACAGCCCAATCTTAAAGTAGACATTGTGCTTCTCACCTGCACCTCCAAACTGAATTCTAAGTCTTATCTCTGTCTTTAAATCTTTCCTGAGATCTTTCTTGGAGACAACCCTTCCAGGGCCCAGGACTGACTGGAAGACCGGGGACAGAGTCACAGGGACAACTGTGTCATGGTCCTAACTCTTTACTCCCCTCCACCCACAGTTATGTCAGTGTCCTACCCCACCCCCTGGGAACGCTTCTAAAACTCTTCCATTATAAAATTTTCCCACATTCTTCAACTACCCTCTTAAAAAAACCAACACCTCCACACTTATTTTAGTACAAACATCCCAACAACAGCACATGGCTGGCTGCTGCTGAGAGCACAGGTGCTTTATTGGAGAGAGAATGTGGGCAAGGGATAAGGAAGGTTCCCCTTTCCAAGAGGATGGGAACAGTCCTGGCTACCCCTGACAATGAGATATGCAGGGTCTCTGGCCAGACTGTGGTCAAAATGGGAAGACACTCAGTCACAAAGTCACGGGCGTGCCACATAAGCCTGGCTGTAGGTGCAGGAACCATACAGGCAAGCACCTGGGGCAGGTCCCTTGCACATTCATCATGAACTATACAGAACAAGGCTGTACATGAGTTAATTACAAAAGAGTCATATTTACAAAAATCTGTACACACATTTGAAAAACTCACAAAATTGTCATCTATGTATCACAAGTTGCTAGACCAAAATATTAAAAATGGGATAAAAGTATACATTTCTCTTCTCAATTCTTTTCAAAAGGATTAATATTTTAAAGCACATATATGCTACTTTCCATTAGCAAGACCTATGAAGAGATCAAGCAGCCCAGCATTCCTTGAATCCCCAGGGGCCACGAGCCATAAAAGGCCCAGCCAGGGGACGGTGGCCAGGGCTGGGGCAGGGAGCTGGCCCACAGTGCAGAACAGAATGCTAAAATACAACAAAAGGAAGATGTCTTTGGCTAAAACTTTGGCATTAAATAAAAGAGGCAAACAGAATGGAAACATAAAGCCCTACCAGCAAGGCAGCCTTGAAAGCTGGCTCCAGAGCAGTAGAAACCAGGCCTGGGCACATACCTGGATGGTAGAAAACTGTGTTTCACCAGGTGGGTGCGCCTCCTGGGCCTGGCAGGGAGCATGCACAAAAGGAATAGGGAAGGGCAATGGGCCACCTTGACCATAGCCAGCTCAAGTAACTAAAGTAGATGTAGTGCAAATATTGCAACCGAGTACTATGGACATACTACCTGCTTGCCTCAAGGGTCACGTGGCAATGTGGAGCCAAAGGCAGGCCTTTGTCCTCATCCTGGATGCCTGTATCAGCCACAGAAAGGGCCCCAAGTTTTCCCAGTGCATGTGGGACAGGGGTTGACACGTCTTGCCTTCTTCTGTGTTAGTCCAGAATGCCTAGGTCTAGGTATCAAGACTCAAAGTTTGTGCTTCTCTTTGCAGTCTGTGTTCCCTGCTCGCAGCAGCAGCAGGCTTAGGATAGACAGAGGAATATCTGGGCCCCTTGTCCCATGGCAGAGCACCCAGCCTGAGCCTACCTCTGAACATTCCAACAGCCCTTCCACACTGGCAAGGTGTCCAAGAAAACCACAGGGTGGCACAGAGACCCACTGAGCAGGATGTCACCCACAGTTCCATGGGCAGAGGGGCACAGGTGGTGATGTCCCTAGGGGAGCTCTGCTGTTCTCAGGTGGGTACCAGGCCTGGGGGGGCCATACAGGGTCACAGAGGCAATGTGGTTGTTCTGCATGATCTGGTATAAGAAGAGGACAATGGGTCAAGGGGGAGGGGTAGAAAAGATGTAGGTGGCTCTTATGAACTAGAGGGTTGAGTGAGCCTAGAGGTTGTGCTCATGAGGTACCTACACACAAGGCCTGGGATTCCTGAGCCCCTCAAGCTTTCCTACTTCACACTAGTGGGGAACTCTGCCCAAAGGTGCACCTGTTCTTATGGAATACACAGCCTTACCACATGCATTTGCTTAGTTCTTCTGGAACTGCTAAGGGCTTGCTGAAGGTGTGGCATCCGGATGGAAAATAGGGGCTACCCATTGTTCTCCCAAGTCATCAAGGCCTCAAGAGCCACTTACCCACAGTACTTTTAGTTACATGGTTCACAAAGGCCCCCAATATGCCCAGGCTCTGCCCCATTTATCCTGAGGTCCCCCTTCCCTGTTATATCCATTTTCAGATACAAATATGAGATCCCTGTTATCTCTCATCTTGATGAATATAGATTGCTTCAGCTCCCATGACCCCAGATTTTCTTTTTTTTTGGTCTCACTCTGTAGTTCAGGCTGGCCTTGAACTCACTATGTAGGCCAGGTTGGCCTTGAACACATGGTGACCCTGCTGCCTCAGTCTCCCAAGTGCTGGGATTAGAGGTATATGCCACCACACCTGTCTCCCCAGATTTTCCTGTTAAGTGTGGGGAGGTTAAGTATGCAGACAAGATTGCTGGGGAGGGATTAATTTGCCCAGCTTTAAAGTTAGGCCCTTCCCAATTCCTGAAATAACTTGCCAAAACCCTGCAATAACCACCAACCCCTCAGTGGCTTATTTTTAGAGACTCCAGGACTTACCTCAAAGATCATCCGCTGAAGACCAAAGCAGAATGTGGAGCCAAATGGGTTGGTGTTGTTTGGGGATGAGGACCTGAGGCCACAGAAGCCAGAATTAGAGGGGCAGGCAAAAGGCAAAGCCAGAGGAGCCTCCAGTCCCTTTTGGGATATGGGCTACTGGCCAGTAGTCTCACATGATTGCTAGTGTATAACTTTACAACACAGCCCTCATGGTCCTGGGTTCAGGGTGACCTCACCCAACTCAGAATCCTATGCTAGTCTAACATGGCACAGAAAGTCACTGTGGATCTGAATGGGAGTGGTGAGAAGTCAGGAGGCCCCTTTCAAGTGAGAGAGAGCCTCAAGACAGCCAGGATTAGGTCTGCAGGTAGCAGCTTTGATTTACTAGGTGATTCAGTCAAGACTGCTTCCCTTTCTGAATAGCTAAGGGTAAGAAGGAAGTAGGGGGAGGGAGGATATACCAAGGGCAATTTATCTGTTACAGATCAACATGTAGAACAGTTGGTCTAGTCTTAATGTGTAGGGTAGGCCAAGAAGTATGTTTTGGCAAATGACAGGAGCTTCTGTCATTTCTAAGCAATATATTGGTGAGCTTTCCTGAGCTTTCCGGGCTTCAAAAAGCAGCATGGGGAGTCAGAAATAACAACTGCCCACTTACCTATGCAGGATGACAGGCTTCTCCACAGGGTGGCCCAAGAGCTCATGGATATTGTCCCACTGCAAGAAGGACAGGGGACTGCAGGGGTTAGCAGAGACCTAAACACACCTGGTGCCTAGTGGCTGGCTCAGAGAACATGGCCCCAAAATGGAGGCAGGCTCATGCCCATCTCATTCTCTGGCTGTCAGGTAGGAAAATACGAGCTCACCTTGCTATAGGTTGTGCAAGTTTCTGTCTGACCATCTTCATTTTCTGAAAAGAGGACACAGTGAGCAGGCTGGTAGATGGCCAACCCCCTGGGCCCCAGCCCTGGGCAAATTCAGACTCAGCCACTCTTTGTACTGGGATTGGAGTGTGCAGGGAACATAATCAGGCTGTTTTAGAGCTCTAGTGGGTAAGAGATGGAGGAGTGAAAGGCGGGCAGTCAGGTGTGAGCTATACAAACTGGCAGTGGGTGGAGGGGACCAATGATGGGTTGGGGGTACTGAATGACCACCTGTAGATAATAAATACTCCCCCCCAAGAGGCGAATCATTCCTATTCTTGGTCATGCACAAAGGCTGTGAAGGCCCCCAGGCCAAGAAAAATCCAATCCCCAGAAAAAGGGGCTACTTCCAGAACAGCTGAGCCTATGGACAGAAGCAACTGGGCAAAGGCTCCACTAACCTAACCACTACCAGCTTCTTTTTTTTGATATTTCTCCCTTCTCTGAGTGGAAAATGATTCCAAAACTGCTTCCTTACCCTGAGGGCACTCCCTACTCACCTTTCTTTATGGCTAGTGGGATCTTGAACTCACAGCGGTGGTAACTAGAAAGAAGGCAGAGGAAAGTTAAGGATGGATCTCCTGTAAGTCCTGACCACTTCCATATCTCAACCCTGCACCTCAGAAATATTAAAATCATACACACTTGCCAGAAGTCCTGGCTCTGTGCCCATGACCCAGCATTCACTGGGGGAGGTCAGATTTAGGCACTGAACTCAAACAGAAAAGGGTATGGTCCTGCAGTCTAAGGAGCCTATCCCCTTGGACAACGTATCAAGGCTTCTGATCTGATTTACCTATTTGTAAATGGGTACCAACAGAGAAATGTAAAGCATTAGACATTGTAGCAGAAATATAGCAGGCAATCAGTAAAGCTTCATTTCCCATGAAACAGCAAGAATTTAGGTAGAGGCCATAACAGTGGTAAAGCATTAAAAAAAAAAAATTCAGAGATAGAGATAAATTAGTGAATACTCAAAGCCATAAGTTCTTTTTCCTTGAGGTTTTCAGTCCAAAGCACACTTCTCAGAGGTACAGGGTTAGGGGTTAGGGTGTATGCTGTACTCACATGTTAAAATTATAATGCCCAGGATAATTGGTATGTAGAACAAACTTCTTCACTTTGTGTGTATTTGCATCAAAGAGGATGTCCTAGAATAGAAAACAGAGATGCAAAAATATGCAGAGTTCCTGAGGCAGGGCAGGGACCTTTCTAACTTTCTGAATGTCATGACCTACCAGATCCTCCTGGCTTCCATTACACTCTTTATGGAAATTGGTAACTGCTGGAACTCAAGTTCCACCTGACTTCTCAGGACTCAGACTTGGATTTGAAGCTATCCATTGAACACATCCTCCTGACACTGACACCTTCCCAGCCTCTGCTAGCTGCTCAGACCTGGAATCCTAGGGTTACCTCTAAATCCATCCCCATTTCAGTTGCCAATAAAATCCCACTAAAGCTGTCCATTCTTGCCATCTTAACTGCTGCCTATCACCAGTGGCCCTTGAATTTGGGGAGTCAAGGTGTAACTGAGTCCCTCCTGCCATCCATCCTACCCCATTTATGACTCCACAGCAGCTCCCCAAAAGCTCTTGGTTGTGTTTGGTCTCTCCCAGATAGGAAAACCCAGTCTCTGCTTTCTAGAATCTACTCTTTCCTGACTCAGGACATCAGACCATAGAAGCCTCAAAGCTAACACAGAAGACCTATGGTCCAGGCTAGCCCCGCCCTGAGGTACTTTTTGCTGTATACTGGTTAAGACAACCATTTCTCATATACGCATCCTACCCATCAGCTGGACTGTTAAGCACTAATGGCAGCATGGTGTTAAGCACCATCTCCATCCATGCCTTAAGTTCATGGTACAGGGCTGTAGCAATGTTTCTGGGCCAATCCTCTAAGGATAGCAGGGACCAAGGAACCTAGTGTTTCTTGGCATTTTTGGTGGAAGGAAATATCTACTGTGGGGGAAACACCACCAAGCAAAGCCACCAGAGGCTAGGTTCCCCAATTCCCAGGCACAGTTACAGTCACACAGGTGTGCTCCCCTATCCTGGTGGAAAGGAAATGCTTCTCTAAGGCACCACAACTTACCACTCCAAGAGTGAAGTAGTTAAAAAAGTAGTCATTGCACTTGGATGGAACTTGTTTATGAGGGGAAGGAGAATGAATTTTCATCTGTTGGGAAAAAATAACAAATTAAAGTCTAACCCT